TTCCTAAGGAACAATCCTATTGAAGGCGCTGGAGTATCTAAACATATAAATAACAATAAAATGTCTTTCGTTTATTATTGAATTTGCACAAGCACAATGCAGATATAAAATGATTCATTGTGTTCTGGACGCTCTTGATTTGCTACTGAAATAAATGACATCAATGAAATAAGAAGGCGTTCATTTTTTTCCTTAGATTATATCAGTGAAAAGACGTATATCTTTATCAAAATAGCGGCATTTTCTTCATTGTAAATATATTTGATTAGCTAGGAAACAAATTTACAAGTATAAACCTAATAAATACCTTAGGCTATATACTTTATCGAATAATTTACTATTCAGTGCATATTATGTAATCTGACAAATAATTTGTACTTAAAAATTTTCTCATTAAATATTTTACATGCGTATTTCAGGGCTGGTTATTCAAAATGTAAAAGTACAACGCAACTTTCAAGCCCCAATATTATACTGAGTAAAATTATAGAATAGAATATAGCATCCTTCCCTTCAAAATTTATTAGGTTATGGGGAAATAGAGTAAAAAATAATATGAGTACATATTCTTATCAATTTTAAAATTTTTATTCCTTAATCTGACTTAAATCACATTATTGATTTAAAGACTAACATTATGAAGCACAAATTGATAAGGGATGCAAGAGAAATGTAGTAATTTTTGGCAAAATTTGACTCTTATTTGATATTCGAATGAAGAAGCAAATTTATTTGATATTCGAATGAAGAAGCAAATTTATTTGATATTCGAATGAAGAAGCAAATAACTTATTCTTGAAGGGGGGAACAAAAACCCATAAATTTTCCTCAAAATGAACGACATTTTCATTTGAAACCTAGTTTATAGAGATTGATACATTTTATCAGTATTAATGTTGAAATCGACGTGTACAGTCCTTGCAAATTTTACTTTAAATGCGAAATTCACCGCATTAATAATTCTTCTGAATTATTTTAATGCATAACTGTGTCTAAGGAACTGAGCTTATCTAGTTAATTTTTCACTATTAGTCATTAAAAGTAGACGTATTTTATTTTAGTTAAATTTTAGTGATAAGATAAACATTAATAATAAAATCTAATAACATAATATGTTTTGGAGAAAGTTAGCAGTTTTGTCCAACTATTTTAAAAATACTTAAAAATATATACTGCTTGATTAAATGTTAAAAAAGACACGAGAAATTTATTACAATGTATTTTTCAAACAATATTATTTTTTATACATGTATATGCAAGCCATTATAATAATAATAAAACTAAAATAAAAATATTCACTGTACTATTACAGCTCAAACTTGGAAAACTATGTAGGCAGACTAAAAGGCTAACATCTTTAAGGGTAACAGTGCTAATTACAATTTTCAATGCATTCTTAAAAGTTTGAATCATTCCACGAAAAACATAAAACAATGTATATAATTTTTTTGTTTTTTTGAAGAAAAAAAAGAATGTTTGCTTTCCCAATGGGAATCATAAATCACAGCTCAAGAGCATAAGACTGGAACAGTTTCTTTTCAAAAGATGCAATTAAAAAGGTTAAATTAGATTACATTTGATATAAAACAACGTGAAATTAAATTAAATGATCTCAATACTGTGCTATTTTCTGCCAGATCTAAGAAAATATATTAAATATAGGCCAAGAACTAAAATGCAACAGAACAAAATGAATATTATCGGACAAGTAAAAACAAATAAAAACGAAGGTAATGATGCTGAAACAAAACTGCAAAGAATAGATATATAAATACACGTAGGAAAATATTTCAATAAATAAATACATGTGGAAAAATATTTAAGTAAATAAATACATGTGGGAAAATATTTATGAAAGTGAAATGCAACGCCGAAAAACTATAAAAGTAAATAATAAATAAGTACCTCAGTTTAGTAGAGAAGCTAAAAAGAGTTGCTCTCAGTTCCAGCAGTGCCTACCACTTATAGATCAAATTGCTAGCTATAACCATCTCGAGTGTAGTAGAATGGGATAAAAGGATACTTTTCCGAAGTAGAGAAATAATTAAATATGGAAAATGACAATTCGAAGAATAGAACTACATTATCCAGGAATATGACATAAAAAAAACTGGATGCAGTGTATATGAGAAATAAGTTGTAAGTTACGAAGAATTAAGATAGTTTAAAGAGAATTAAGCGAGTTAATAAAGAGTTGAGAGAATTTTAAAGAACAGCAGATGGCAAATGTTATCCATATAAAGGATAAATTAATGACAATAATAAAATAATGAACTAATGAATAATTAGTTAACTCTGAAGAGATAGAAGTAAATCTCTATCCAGACGGGCAATAATAAGTAAACTACAAAAAATGTAAAGGTCAACAGAGAAGTAGAAACGATTTAAAGATTAGCCAAAAGAAGAAAAATTTTACCTTTAAGAACTGCTGCAGTTTTTTGAACAGAAATAGAACCAGAGGAAATTTAGGAGAAAACTGTGTGCATACACGTATACGATACATAAGGGGGAAAAAAACGAAAATTATTTTCTTCGCTTTATTTATTCTTAATCGTTTATAAACATTGAAAAAAAATTTTTTTTTCTAATTGATTGCATGTACTCATTTAACATATTAGCTTATATATTTTAAAGCATTATTATTATAAAGCTAAAGAATGTACCTCTTAAAATATCTATAAATAATTTATATGTGTGCGTCTATGTAAATTAATAAATAATTAGTGCATAAATTCTTTTTCCGATAATAAGAGCATTGCTGAAAAATATATATTTTTATTTCGGTATTTCATTTGAATCTAATAACAGCATAATTCATTAAATTATTCAATAGACGTATTTGTCTTCTATAAGTTTTTATATGTGCAACAATAACATTAATAATAAATACATTGTATACCGCAATAAATGGATAATATGCATAAACGTTATGCATATAAAGTACGTAGTATAATGAATTTTTACTTCAATGCAAATTTTATGCACAATTAATTCAATGCACATTTATTTTCTTGAGTTTAAAAACTTACTTTTTGATTGCAATTACTTACACTTTAAACTTTATATATGTATTTATTTTTGAAGTAATGGCAACTGTGTGGTTTTATTTTGTTTCTTAATATGCTTATTTACATTTTTTAAGTATAAAATTACTTTCTTAAATTTGTAGATCAGATTTGATTTTTATTAAAAAATTTTCAAAATACTCTAAAAAGATTATCCATGCGAATTAGGAAATTTTTTATAAGAATCTTTATATTATAACAAATAAGAAGAAATATCTTGTAATGTAAAACGGGAATATAATTTGACCTCTCATACTGAGAAGATATACTTTTTCGCTTTATTCTTTTTAAATTAATATTTGTGCTTGTTTCAAAATATGAAACTGAACAAAAATGGCTGTAAACATGAGAGAAAATGATGACTTCGGTTTCTTCAGCCATTACAGTTTTACATCTTAATTATTCATAAATATTTCGTTAAAAACTATGCTTTCTACTTATAGCATGAGATGCAATTACAAATATCCTACCAGGTCACTTAATTTTAGAGCTTATCAGGATATATCTGAGAATCTAGTTCCTTAGGAATGAGGATGGGTCTTATAGTAAGCAAGTTATTTTCTTAAATGTTAATTTTTAATATTCTTCAAGGAGATTCATGTATAATTTCAAATATAAGTTCTAAGCAGTTTAAGTTTGGCATAAGATTACTGATACAAATAAGAAACTTCATTTCACTGCGTCTTTGGCTCCCTGCTTAGTTAGGTAGTTGCTGATACAAAACTAATTTAAGTGATTTATTGCTTTTAAATTGAGCAATTTTGTAGTCAGGCTTATCGGAAAACAGTTATGGTATCAGATAGGGGGAAGAAAGTTTTGTTTTCAGTGGCTGTTAGCAAAGATAACACTAATAAAGTTTTCTCACTAAGGTCTTACTTGAATGCCATGGAAGCAACACGTTTTACTAATCCTCGATAATCATTATATTCACAGTTCAGCAACAGAACTTCAGACAGTCAAAGTAGCAAAAACTTGTGACATTGTGAATATTTTTATGTAAGGACTATATACATTTCAATTATTTGAAATTTTGTATGATATTTAACAGTAAAATTTATTACGTTGTAGACATTTTAAGAAGAATTTTTAGACTCTGAGAAAGCTAAAAATATTGTTTTATCTACTGTATTGCATGTACCATATCCAAAATGTATTATGTGGTACATGTATGCCACGCTTATGATCTTTTTCTTCGAACACATCTCATTATTTCTTGATTAAGCACCTGCTCAGATAACTTACTTGAAACCTATTCTTTAATATATGGAACATCCCTTACGCGCACCTTATAATTAGTCCAAAAGCCTCAGACAACCTCCTTATGTTACCGTCAAAAACATAATCCACATACTAGTAGATACTAATTAAAGAATCGCTGAGGTGGGCCTTGATAAAGTTTCTGGGGGCGATTCAACGATTCGTCATGGAATAGGAGAGGTAGAAGCCGACGAGTGTACTTATGAAAAAAATAATTTATCAGACACGTTTGTTTGTGTGCGGAATCCTAAGCATTTTTCTTAACTCAAACAAAGTAACTTTCCTTACATTGAAACGTGATTAGTATATAAAATATGTTTTTTTTACGTATATTGCAAATGATTTGGTGTCTTTTCATTCATTTTATAATTGAAGCATGTTTTGTTTTTACGTTCAGTGCCATTTTTATTAATTGCATCAATTAATAAATATATTGGTAAATTGGTAAACGTTCTGGGTAAATAATATACATCATTATTGAAATTGATGAGTTCTGTTACGAGGTATTTAAACGCCTATGATTTATTGTAATGTATATTAGTGCTCTGAAAATTAATTACTGATGACTTTTTTTAACTTCTGATCGTAAAAGATTATTATTAAAAATACATAAGGAATGAATTTTAATAGTATCGTTTAAAAGAGAGAGAATACAATTCAATAAGATTAGGTACTTACCGTAAGCAAATTCTCAGGTTATGAGAAAATCTGTGAATAAAAGGTTTGAGAAATATTAATTTGACGAAAGCAGAAAATATACATTTTCATATTTTAATGAATACAGTTTAAATGAGAACAGGAAAATATTTGTTTTAAACAAGATTTAATTTCCTTTTCTAAAGCTTAGGGATTTCACTTTCTAACCAGCTTCTTTTTTGAAGAAGTCCTTAAATATATATTACCGTACTTGAGAATTATAGCAAATTTCTAATTATGTATTTTGAATAAAAGGAAAAAAATACACCTTCTAGAATTATTTCTTGCTAATTACGCGTGTTTCGAATTGAATGCAAGTAAATGGACAATACATAATTATCTTCAGAGTGATAAAATTATACATTTTCTATTGCAATTCATATAGGTTTTCAAAATTTATTCTATGAAGTTTCTTCAAGCTGTGATTTATTCAAATTTTTTACGATAATTTTCGCAGCTTTTAATTTATATACTAGCATATAAATTAAAGATATTTTCATCGTAAATACAGTATTATAAGGTTTCTTTATAACTGAGGGCGACTGCAGTTTGTTGAAACACATCGAGGGTATGGTATTTTAGTCTGTCTGCCACAAGTGCGCTAAGCTTTATATTTTAAAATGAAATATGTATATATAAAGTCATTTTAACTTTTTAAGAAGCTACACATTTTATCTTCAATGGATTTTGGAACTCCTAAACTGTTGTATTTTTACTTTCTATATTTTTTCAATATTAATATGTACTGTAACCACTTTAAGAACACTTTTCAATGAGTTGTCATACTCTGGTAAATATAAAGCTCTGTAAATATGAAAAAGGGGAAAATACCAAGCTTGTGGTTCTTGGACGTAAATGAATGAGTACGTACTAATGTACCAATACTTAGAAAAAGTAGAGAGAGTTGTTAAAATGTTACAAGATTTCGAATCTCTAACAACTGACAAATGCCCTTTATCTACTTTTGAAAAATAGAAAAAAATAGCATTGATGATATACGCACAGAAGAGTGGATAACAGGGATAGAACTTCAGGATTGCTTGAGAAATTTTGTGCCCATGATATCACTACTGTTGCTGAAGCGAATTATTCCGTCCGATTACTTCCAGCCTGATAATTTACATCCATTCACTTCTGCCAGACGATGTTAGTACAGTTTAATATAAACTGTGTCCATTAAATCAATTAATGCTTAGTTTGTGCTTCAGACCAAATAGTACATACTATTAAATCTGTCAAATGAGTCGGTGCATATTATGCGAGCCAAAAAGCACATGATTGTAATAAGAATCCTTAGTAATTTTGCCTTAATTACAACACCTGATCAAATGCGGTTTATTTAACATATTTGGGAATTCTGACCCGTTCTTGAGAAAGGAAAGCTGTAAGTTTTTCAGCTAATAAAAAGTCTTTTTATAGCACATTTCTGAAGCTCAAAACTTATTAATACTATAAATCATATTTCTAAAAAAATGCTGTGACTAATCATTATTTGGAAATTTGAAATTTAACACAGCTTAGGAGAACACAAATGAATGCAACTGGTGCTATATTTAAACTTCAGTACACTCGATACCTTGACCAACCTTGCTTAGCTTAATCATGGTTACAGTGGGTATCCAGAAATTAAACTGGACTACAAAGAATTTTCCTGATCCAAAAATAAAATTCTATGATTTCTTGCATCCATACGTATATCATCATTCATATTTCATTGCAATTTTTTATGGGAAAATGTGTAAAGTATCAATATTATTTAGAAAAAATAAAGTGTTATGTAATACAAATCTTTTTCAGAGAAAAATGAAAAATTTTGAGAAACAAAGCCCTAATATCATCAGGGGTGGAAACAGAGCTGCTCTCGCAAGCGAGTGGTGCAGCTCTTATAAACAAAATAATATATATATATATATATATATATTATATATATATATATATATATAATATGATAAACTAAAAATTTCTCAATATAAAGAAAGTAATTAATTAATTTTATTTCTTTATATAAAGTTATTAATAAATGTAAACTGATCAGTGTCTAAATTATTTTATTTGAATTTTTGTTAGTTAGGAAACTTAATTATATTACTACAAAGCACAACAAATATAAATATTGTACTGCTTCTATCAAACAATTTTGTAAAGAAAATTATTAATAGTTAGATTTGCTTGTGGATGCTTTACAAATAATGGATGGATGCTTTACAGATTATAAGGTATTTCTCCCACTTTCCTAGTGTGCCTTCGTTGTGTAACGGTAGCAAGCTGGACCAGTATTCCAGAGGTCCGTGGTTCGATTCCCGGCGAAGGCGGGTTGCATATTTTTCATCTTTTCTGCTTCCAATTAACCTAATGACTCTACAAGATAAGGTCTACTGAATTTATGAATTTGAGGTAGAATTTCAGTGATCTGTGAGCGACAAAGAAAACACGAGGTATTTAATCTCATCAGAGGCATTTAATATCATGCATAATTTCATATAAGCTAAAAATAAGTTAGAAGTTGGTCCGATGTCCGAACTGATGAGGAATTTATGGCAATTGGAAGCTTTTGGAGTTTCTAATAAATCTAATAACATAACAGCTTAGATAACAATGCTAACTTTTTAAAAGTTTTAGATTACATAAAATTTGAGGATGACAGATATATTTGCCGTGGAATGAGCATACAGGGGAATTACGGGATAATTTTAAGGTAGCAGAAAAAGGATTTTAGAATCAGTGTGGTGCGGATTTAAGAAAGATCCGAAGTTTCATTACAAAGCTGTGATCGATCAACATTTACAGGGATATATCGCGGAAGAATAGGAGTATTCAAAAACTGAAAACGAGTACTCTTTGCCAAGTTATGATACAATTAGAGAAAACAAAGGCATCACAAAACTTCGCGTTGTCTTCGACGCATCATCACACGCTGAAGGCAAAATATCATTGAATGATTGTTAGATAAATTGATAAAATAAAATGTTTCTATTTGAAATCAGTTTCACTACTTTTAAAAGGATGTAAATATGGACTTAAGGCTTTTGGAAAGTCTAGTTGAGGTTTTCAAGCTTTCCTGAATTCCAACATGCGGCTGTTACTGACATGTGACGGCTGTTACTGACATTTTGTCATCACTGCCCAATACCTTAATACTGAACTTCATTTTAAATTTTAGAATCTTATCACATCAAACGTAACCATTAGGAAAAAAATAGCGTTTTTGGTTTTATTTGACAGTGTAAATCATAGAAACTTGCATTCTTTTTCATTGAGAAAGATGTGGTACTCTCCCATTGCACAAAATAGCAGAAATTGGCTATCACCTACCTTGAGCCTGCATTTCTAGTTTTTAATCACATAAATTAGACAGATAGCATTAAGCAATTCTGATAAGGAAAGGTAAAAAAATATATTTTTTAATAATAAAAATATATTATTAAAAATATATTATTTTTATACAACTATCTAACTTCAAATATTAGGTTCTGAATATTGTAGATTATGAAAATCTCAGGCAATTGTAATGAGCAATATGCTCTGGTGGGTGTACCAATTAAATGGCATTCCCTTCCAAATGATTGAAGAAATTTGTAGTAATTTTGGTGGGGGGGGGATTTCGAGATTTTGATTAAGATTTTTCCTAGGTGAATTATTGCTTCAAATAACCGGTAGGAGAAGTAACTATATTTTAGATTCATATTAGTTTATTTACACCTTTAATTCCACATTATTATTTATATTTATCTGTTGATAAATAAAACAGTTCAGAAACATATATACCTAATGTTCTATCAAAGAAAATCACGCATGCCATTATTCCCATGCAGCAAATTTTAATATATTTATTTTTCATGTAAATAAAATCGAAGTTAAATTCAAAGCCAAAGCATTCTGAAAGTTTTTCTTTTGTCAAAAAAAGAATCTAGATTCTGAATAATAGGAAAAAGTAAAGAAAGAATAATAGGAAGAGTTTTATTTGAATATCTCTCAATAAAATATAATGTTATCTGTCCTAAAATGAAACTATCGCATTATTTACAGACAACAATGCAAACTGATGATCGCAATTTCACAGCTAAGTAATTTGCATCTAAATGTTATGAAAACCATTTTCCTGATGATTGCTTGCAGCGAAATTTGTTGGATTATCTTTTCCCTCTATTCATTAATGTAATATTAAGCAATCTTCATATATTTGTTGATCTCTAGAGATAGGCTGAATGCATGTTGCAAATTAACTTATAGATAAATGCCATTTAAAACTGAAAACAATGCTTTTGATTTGATTACAATGATAGATTCTAAATCTCCTTTTAATTAAAAATTTTTACCATACATTCTGTGATTAAAAGTGAAAAAAAATTGAAATAACTTCACTAAATATTTACTTCGTTCCTGACGATTTTGTCATCACAATTAATTTGCAGTCTCACTTTTTAATTTTTTAGATTATGAAACCAAACTTTTACTGTCTCACATTTCAGCTAATTCATGTAATAAACAGTTCAGTTGACAAACTTTCTACTTGCAATCCTAGTACAAAAATGAAACCAACAAGAAAGTTTTATATCACAGATCTTTTAAATGCATATACATATTAATGTACCTTTTTTCTCAAACAACTCAAGGCAGAAATAGTTTCCTCTTTTTCACACATCACTGTCAAAGAAACTACTCATTTGAACACCGCACAGCCTGTGGCTGATTTTTAGCAGAAACGTGATCAGAATATGCAATACAATTTTTAAAGGAAAAAAAAAAACTATCTCTGCGCTTTAGTCTTTTTTTCAAACTCTGAAGGTTGCAAAGTTAATTATAGAACGAAAGTAACTGCTGTAAAATGTATATCAAAAATATTTTTAAAAAATTAACTTTTAGGTTTTGCTTAATCACTTGCTAAAGAAACTAAATAATTCAATCTACAGAAAACCACGATCAACATAGTGGTTAATTTATTCAGCTTAGTTAAACAGTGTAAATGAATAAATGAGGTGCAACAAAGTTTAGAGCTGAGAAAATTATAGATAGATAATGATCATTAATTTTCTGAAAATGTGTCAAGCCTTTCGTGTTGAATTTATCATACTTCGACTGCTGAATCACGATTCATTTTTCTGAACATGAAAAATGAACTTTTGTTTTAATTCTTTTTAACAAGTTAATGTATGAAGGATAATTTTAGAACTAATGTTCTGCGAAAAATATCCCTAAATTTCCTAGAAATACTTAATTCTTTGCAGTATTTTCAAAATATTCGTTCCGATTCTAAATAAGATATTTCTTAGAATTTCTGTGTCCCACAGTCCTTTACAAGTAATAAAATTCATGATTTCAGCAACATTTTTTGCATGCATTTTTCCACTTCTGAAATTAATAAAAATAAGTTAGTTTACAATATTTGCAACATTTTTGCTGATTAATATTAATATTAAAACAAAGTACTCAAGCTGCAACAGACTACTTGAAGAATGTCTGTTTAAATAAAAAAAATATATGACTGTATACTTAACTATATATATTGAATATACTACATTTATTAAATCAGTTAGTGCTCAAATGGCACTTTAAATCAAATAGGATATATTAAATTCTTCAAATAAATAAGTGCATATTATCTCAGCCAAAAAGCACACGACTGTAAAGAGAATGCTGAGTATTTTTGCTTTAATTAGCACTGCTGATTAACGCCGTTTATATAATATTTTTGGGAGCTATGTCTCTTTTTTGAGATAGGAAATCAGAATATCAGCATATTCAGATTTTTTAGTATATGAGTTTAATAATAAAATAAAATTCTGGAAAAATTAACATACTTGCTTTGGGTTTATTTGCTGTTTAAACTGTTTGCTGGATGCAAAAGCACAGTAAACAAAAGAAAGCTGCTGTACGATAATCAAAAGCGTTTATGAAAATTAAATAAATCTGATATCAGTATGCACATTATTTCAAGACTATAGTTGTAGTAATTGCAATATAATGAATAATTTGATAATTTTATACCATAACCTATCTTAACATAAATGCACACCATTTGCCCAAAATGTTCTCGAGTCTGGATTAATGAAAACTCGAGAAATCCTAGGATGATAGTGTTAATGTTTCAGGTGTTCTAATCTTCCTCAACTTGAGTAAACGCACAGAACTTTCATATAACCATACAAAATTGTCAAATAAATCCTTATTTGGGATGTTATTCAACTTGTGTGTCACTGCTACTTGAATGCTAGTTACGTCTTGATAGATTTGACCTGTCATGTAAAGTTTGACTTTCGGAAATGAAAAAATAATCACTAGGCAAAACATCTGGTGAATATGGAGGGTGGTTAAGAACTGGCACACATTTGTCCGTTAGAATCTGCACCATAACTCCAGTCGTGTGAGAGGGAGCATTGTCGTACAGCATTTTTTTTTTTTTTTTTTTTTTTTTTTTTTTTTTTTTAAATTCCTTCTCCTTCCATCGTTCCTGACAAACTCGTTGAATCCTCCTGCACAACCGATGCCTGACGTCCGGGAATTGCATTCCCAGTTTTATCTCAGTTATGATTAATGGCAGACAGAAAATCTGTAGAAGAGATTAATAAGTTTTACTTTCATTATTTTTAATTTCGATTTAAATTATTGCAATATTTTCAGTCAAAATTCCAAATATTAAGAAAGAATAACAAAAATATCAAAGGAATTCCTCCCGTTCTGCATCGGAACGCATAAAACGAATTTAAAAGAAAAATTTCACGGAATCTTTTTGGGAGTATTTGGTAAATATCATACCTTGTAGCTTTGTCAATATTTTAAATTTTCATACAGCAATGAATATCCATTTATTCAGAAATAAAGCATTAAATTATTCTCGAATTTAAATGCTCATCAGAACTCACTAGGTATTAAGTAGCGCAATCTCCATCGATAAGTCATCTTTTTTCCGATGGAAAAGTGTTACGACACAATATGCGTGCATTAATTTTTGTTACTGCACAATGCCTTCCCAAGGCTCCTTATAAGGCCCTGGTGATTCAAAAAGGAAATTTAGACACCTGCCGCGCTGTTCTGTTGTGTGTCTTTCCTTCTTGTTTAAGTGCGAGTCTTCCGAAGAGTAAAACTCCCATTAGCCTTTGCAACACATGTTACCTTACTCAGGCTTTCAAATTTAAAGCATTACTGTCTGAGAATGAGGGAAAAAAATTGACACATTAAAACTTGGGCGAAACGGTAAACTTTTAAAGTCTAGTAAATTTTTCGGGTTACTATATATACATGTAAATGTTAGCATCTTAAGTAATTTTAATCGACCGTTGTATAGACGAAAACCGAATATTTTGGAGATGATGGAAAACATACTTGATAGAAACTGGGTTACCAGAAATTAATTCCAGCTGCTGTTTGAAAGGGGCACCATCTTTGGCCAGTTCTCGTCCCGATATTAATGTTCTGACAGCTCTTTAATACCTAAAAGGAAAATTTCTTATTCTTTTTTAACAAATAAATACATTTTAAGTTTACTTTCATATATTCAGTATTTAAACTAAATATTTTACAATCATTAAAAGGTACTCTCTTTAACTATTAATGGAATATTTTATGCTTCTGGTATACTTAACCTTAAACAGCTGGTAACATATGAACTTTTATTCAAACGTCTTTAGATACTTGAGCAAACTTTCTATACTTTTAAAAATCTGAGGAACTTTAAGAATTCAATACCCATTGAGTTCCTGTGAATATAATTTCAAACTGTACATACCAATTTGAAAGGGAATGCTCAGGTTTTTCAGTTTGATGTTTAACTGAATCCCATCATAAATTTATAACTGCTTTGCATATCGCCGTTAGAAAATAGTTTAAATAAAATGCAATTACCTGATACTTGCAATCAGGGAGAGTGAAAGAGGATTCCTGATTTTGCACTTGATGTATAGTACCGGCTTTCTCTTACTATTTGAGTCTGATTTGAAATGCAGCTACACTGCTCTTCTGAGTAATTGGAACTTTCCTTAAGGTCAACACTAGTCGTTAATAATTCGCTCACCCCTTCTCACAGTCTCTCCTGGATAGTAGACCTCAGGCAATTCTGGGGAGAGTGGGAGGAGTTTGCGTGGGGATCTTCAAAAGTCTTCACTCTTCCGTGAAGTAATACGTGCTTGTGTGATACCCTCATTTTTACTTTCGTTGAGTATGAAAAGAAGTTTCCCTCCTTATGAATCGAATGCAAAGATTTTCAACGACTGGACTTTGGCGTAAATACGCATTCTGATGAGGCCGGAATCTAAGTAAATACTTACACAAGTAGATTTGTATGGTACGCAAAGTAATTGAAGTAAATTAAAATAATAAGCATGTACTACAAATTACTTTTGCGCTTGTATACTAGTTCAACTATACATTATTGAATCAAACACAATACCCTAAAAACATTAAAGAAAATCTACGTTTGTTATAACAACATGTCCTTATTAAGTTGACTGAATGGGAAGGTCTTAAATTAATTAAGTCTAAAACTTGTCTGTTGAATTTCCGAAAGACAGAATTTTTCCTTTTGAATAGAGTAGTTAAATCTTCAAAAATCATCGCAATTCAAAAATGAAAGTATATTAAAAATTAGTTTAATTGCTTCATTTCTTCCTAGATCTGGGGAATCTGATACTTGATTGGTTAAAAGAACACAAATACTTTCTGTCTTAATGAGGCACCTTCATTGCAATAATTGCTGAGGAAAACTTCTTCGCATTTTTTCAGAATGTGAATAATTTCTTCACTGCTAAAATAAACTCCTCTATTCCAATATTGTTTATGGTGGTGGAAAAATGTAAAGTGGATAGCTTTTCAGAAAAGTCTGGCTTGACACTAAAAAATGAATTTATACTTAATTCATGCATCCTAAAATGCGTATATATTTGCATCAAAATTATAAAAATTAAATATATAATATTAAAAAATCTTTACATTCGTTTAGTTACAGAAACTTGTTTTTATACTCTTTTGACGTATCTGAAAGCTTAAATGAAATTTCTTACGGAAGTAAAAGGCCAGTGCATCAGAGAGACAGAAATAATGTATTAATCTAAATAGTCAAGCCACACTATAGTATTTCATACCTTTCGCAACAGCCAACTCTCATTAGTCTTTACAACACATGTTACCTTGCTCGGGCTTTCCGATTTAAAGCCTTACTGTCTGAGGATGAGAAAAAAATTGACACATTAAAACTTGGGAGAAACGGAACGGTAGAGTGGATGAAAACTCGACTTTCGGGCACTGAGACAAGCAGACAGAGAAGCTATTAAACGTGATAACTTGATTGATATTCCTCTCGTTCTCTTCTCTTTTGTGTCACCATACTAAGGTCAAACAACTCAAAACACAACATCTTTACCATCAACATTAAGCCTTCCACTGTCTTTCCAAATTTGGACAGGAAATGTGTATCAGATGTGTTATTTCTAGTTAGTTAGAATGGATCTTTATCACATTATTCTTAATTTGGTATTATTTCAAGATTCATGAGTTATTTGATGCTATCTGTTTGTTTGGAAGTCTAGGAACGGTCACATAAATTTTTTCCATGCGCATAAATCGTAACTTCTTTTTCATGACTTTAACATGAAGTTGTCTGCCATTTTGGCTTATGATAGGCTTCACAGCAAACGTGCTAGCGTTTTGTATTGAAACAGGTAGATGTGAGATGGCTTTCATGAAATATCAATGCTTGCAAATGAAACTAATAAAGTTTATTGAAAATAAATTAGTTAACCAAAAATATATTAAAGGGGATTCTTAATAATAGTAATAACCTTATATAGCATTTATCTTTTTATTTAAATGTCAGAATTAGATTCTGTGAAAAGCCCATTGTTAAGGCCGAATGAATAAATTCTAACTTTTAAACGTTTCTCTTATTATGCTAGAAAAAAATACTTAATACATTTTAAGTTTTTGAGGCATTCTTGCTAATATAAACAGTAAGCGTATATGTGATTTAATCAAGAGTTTTTTTCTGTCATCATAATGACAACTGTAATTATAACTTTCTAGAATTCATTATATTTGCAATGTTAAGCAATATTTTTAGAAAATTAGCTTAGTTTTCTGGGATCTAATGCCATAGTAATTTCAAACTAGTAAATGCATTGTTCAAATCCTTGCAGCAAATAAATAACTAAATAAAAATTCTCAAAATCATTTAAAATCGTTTGATAAAACATATTACTTGACAGCCTTCCTGGGGATTTTTCTTTTGTGCCTAAGAAATGATTTCAGCTGTTAATTATAAAGCTCTGTCGAGATGGATAGATGAAACTCCCTTTAAGATTTTCGCCAGCGGAAGCATGTATTATTAACACTTTAAAAACGAAACCTCGCATGACCAAAATTAATATATCTCTGGCTAAAATTCTAAACAATTGTAATGTTAAGCAATATATATAAGTGAAAAAATATGTCAGTCTAAAATAGATAATTTCTATGAAAGAGCTGTTGCATATTATAGTAAACAAATCGGCATTTTGTGGATTATCACATGAAGGACATGTTAACGTATTTCAGTCTGCCTAACAAAATCATCAAACATTTTATTAAGAAGCAATAATAGTCTTAATAAAATGTTTGATTTATATAACATCGTGTTGTAAACACACTTATAAAACATTGTGTTGAAGATGGAATTTTCATTATTTGTTGAGCAGACAGAAAAGGACAAAATTCGGTTTCAGTTGTCAGCGACGAACCCAAATGTCTTTACTTTTTAAAATTCGTCAGGGGAACTACTGTAGCTTGTTCAATCATTGCTGTACTTCTTTTATTATTTGCTGTCAGCAAACATGTCATTAAACAGAGTGCTGAATACGTCTGCGGAATTAATTCTACTCGATTGGTATAGAGGGAACGTTTTACTGGAAAATGATTACAATCTCCAGACACTTTTCATTGAAAACAGGACCCCGCATCTGTTTTTCTCTCTTTCATCTTTTCTTCTTTTTGTTTTGATTAACCCACTGAACGTGGTTATCTCGTCAGTTATAAAGCCATTTCGAATGATATCTATTTCCTTTTTCAATGAAAACATTTCTTATTCCACCTAATAGTTGTTTTTGTTCAACTCTTTCTCTCACGGAAAAAGACATTAAATTCAATAATTATGTAAATTTAGACTATTATAACTTGCATAATCCCAAAGAAACGATATATATGTCAGATGATAATTTATGAGAATTTTGCCATCTGTTTGGATATGTCATGAATTTGTCCGGATATATCTATTTAGCAAGTGTTAAATATTTATAATTTGTCAGAAGGTAAATTATATATATTAATTTCTATAAATTTAGATTATTGTCAAAGCTGATTTTTATCTAAGTTTCTATCAGAAATGGAATTTTATCGAAAGCCTACTAATTTTTTTTTTTCATCTTATTTCAAAATCTCCCATTTCTTTAAAGGTTAGATTAGGGAAGGCTATTTGAATATGAAAAAAAGCACAAGGGCTATCTGGCACAAGGGCTTCTTCGTGCGGAACTTTCTAAGAAAAACTAGCTCCTGTTAACATAACGCATGTCAAAATCCACGAAAGCCAATTTTGTTTCCAGCCCGTTCTCCTAGGATCGAACCCAGGTTTACAACTAGCGGTTAAACTCGACCACGGGTGACATACCGTTTTTTCAATGATTTTAAGAGCTTTAAAGTTATTTAGCAGTTTTACTCATTTAAATTACCTTCATTTTCAAATTAATAGTCCTTTCTAATCTTAACAATAGACATGTTTAGCAAATTGTTAAATTTTTATTCTCTTAATGCACATATGCTCAGTACAAATTATACTTTTTATTTTTCTCTTTGCCCATTTCTGCAATCTTAGGAGAAGCCTCAAATTTCTAACAAGATGTTTAACTTAAATGGCAACACTCTTGAGTAATATTTCAATTCCTTTTCTTCATTAAATCTATTAGAAGAAGCGCTGCACTTTTCAGTTCTAACTGTTCATATGCATTAAATACTCATAAATTTAGTTTAACTAAAATCAACAACAGAAGTTGCAAAAGATAAATATAAGTAACCTTTAACTCCTAATAAAAATTGAAAAGCTAAAAAAACTTCATTTGATAATCCACAAACTTCTGATTTGTTGATTATAATATGAATATAATCTAATAATATAATCTATGCATTGATTGATTATAATATGAATATTGCCCAAGATCCTTTTTTTTTTTTCATCTCTCACTTTTTTAACAACGGCAAATGGCTTCTTCAAGACAGGGGTCGACTTTCCTAAAAATATAAAATAATTATCCAAATAATTAACCGAAGCCTCATAATCGGCTTAGTGCTTATTAAGCTTAAGATCTTATCCTTCTCAAGATTCTAAGTTTCTATTAGTTTTGTTTCAGTTAAGCATTTAATGATTTAATATACGCTTATCGCGATTGTTCTTTATAATATTCTACAAAATTAAA